CCTGCTCATTGTGTTGAAGGCACTTCTGGTTGTGAGGGTGGAACTAGACACGGATGCCTGCCCCCAAAGTCCTGTCCCGAGCGCACCACCAATTCCAGGGCTCGACCACGGCACTAGCCAATTCCTCCTGAGCCTCACCGCTTCGGCCTTTGCGAAACTCTGCCCTTCACAGCTGCAGTTTCAATACAACTCTGCTGAACAGAAGGCTGGGTGGGCAACAGCTCAAAGTACCCTGAACAAAATCAGAAACGATGCTTTATGGCTTCGCGAGAGACGTTGAGACCAGCTTAGTTGATGCCGTCCTTTTGAAACTCTTTAAGGAAACCATGACAATGGCACTGTTTCCAGAGCAAATCTATGGGAACATGGCGCGGCACACCCTGTCTGCCAAATGAATGACAAGCCGGAAAGCATTGACCTGAGACACATCCCGGTCCTCTGTGATTTGAACAAAGATGTGATTGTACAGCTTTCAGGGCTAAATGGAGCATGACCTGAAGACACTCAGAAAACCATCACAGGAGAGGGATGGTTAAACTGCTTAGGGATCATGAAGGTTGCCAACTTTGCTGATGCTTTCCAGGAATGCCTCTTGAAGACATCTCAGGGCTATGCCCACTAGGCAGGCTTGTCTGTGGGTTTTCCAGGGGGCTCCTCTCCAGACTGGTGGTTTTTTGCAAGGATATTCTGCATCATGTTATTGCCTAAGATGCCATTGCAAGGGCTTAGCTAATCAAGATGTCGAGCGCACCTTTGCAATTAATGCTCAGACCTTTTCAAAGTGCAAATTGCACCAGCTAGGGAAGTGGAACCAATCATTAACGTAGTAATAGCAGGCACAGGTGGGGGTTCTGACTGTTTCCTGTTGTGCTGGGGCTCTGAGGAAAAGTTTCCCCCTGAAACTAGTTTTGGCGTTGGGAGGAAATCCCCCACTGACATCAGTGGGGGAATTTCCCACAAAGCAAGCAGCAGTTTCAGAGGAAAGACTTCATTCGAGATCACAGCAAGCAAGGAAAGGCCTAAACCCACCCACTAACCTACTGCAATCTCAATCACAATCAGCTCCCTACCAGCCATGCTATTTTCATTTTTTTAAAATTCCCATATATTAAATGCAAAAATTGCACTTAGCTTCATTTTTAGTTTGGCTCTAAATAACTGCACTGATGAAGCTTTCTTGGTGCTCCATCAAAGACATACCTATCTCCACCCCCATAGTTCAGCCCGGACATTGAGATCCAGCGCCGAGGGCCTTCTGGTGGTTCCCTCACTGCGAGATGTGAGGTTACAAGGAACCGGGCAGAGGGCCTTCTCAGTAGTGGCAACTGCCCTGTGGAATGTCCTCCCATCAGATGTCAAGGAAATAAGCATCTATCCTGCTTTTTAAAGACATCTGAAGGCAGCCCTGTTTAGGGAAGCTTTTAATATTTAATGCAGTATTGCGTTTTTAATATTCGATTGGGAGCTGCCCAAAGTGGCTGGGGAATCCCAGCCAGATGGGTGTGGTATAAATAAATTATGATTGTGATTGTGATTGTGATTGTGATGATGATGATGATGATGATGATGATCTACAGGAGCACAGGAAGCAGCCTTATACCAAATTAGACAACTGCTCCATCTAGCTCAGTGTTGCTGACTCTGGCTGACAGCAGCTTTATGAGACTTCAAGTTGGAGTCCTTTCCAGCCTTACTTGGAGACATTAGGGATTGAACTTGGGGAGGAGGGGGTTGCAAGCAAACCAGGTGATCTACCACTGATCTATGACCCTTCCCTAAATCTGGAGCACAGGGCTCTTAATCTCATGCTTGCCCTAAGCTGGGCAAAAAGATTCCTGAATTGCAGGGGGTTGGACTAGATGATTCTTGTGGTCCCTTCCAACTCTACAGTTCTACGATTCTATGAAATCTGAGCCTCTGGAAGCAGAGTGTTTTCATTTGTCCACCAATCAATTTGCCCACCACCTACAACCCCTCCGTCCCGTTGCTCTGATGTGTGTCTCATTTCAAGGTGGGCTGGCAAAAAACCACCATTTTCCATGCACTGGATAACAATCAGCTTGAGTTTAGTTTTTAATCCCAGTCACATTACATGAGCTTGCTGGAAAAAAATTTTTTCCACGATTAGCAAGGGTTTGTCGAAACTTGCTTGCTAAAATACCGAACCCTTCATGATATATAGATCTGGCAAGATGCTAGCGACCATCAATCATTTCCCTGGCATGTCTGCTGATAAATCATGGCCAGAAGCCAAGTGCCTTCTGAGACATGTTTTCCAAACCTGGAGGTTCAGCATCTTGTTCCAGAGACATTCGGAGCCGCTTTTTCTTCGGCACCGAGAAAGCAGTGCCAGCCTGTGCAGATCTTAAGGTGTGGGTCAACAGGAGTGTTTCAGCAGAAGTTTCGACTCCCAGGATGCAAACAGACATTCCATCTTTTCTTATTGGGCTGGGACTGCAGCTGCCCATGAAAGGGTTCAGGCTAAGCGACCGTTTGTGGCAAGAGATTTCGCCCCGTCAGCAAGAACAACCTTTGACTAATATGAAAACTCCCTCATTTTTGTCACCCACTCTCTCAAATACAATAGATTTTTTTTATTGCTATTACTCAGGATACAATCCTTTTGCAACAAGAGAACGCTTGGTTTTTTTAAAAAAAAAAACCACACCGGGCTGAAAGCACATCTGCACACCCAAATTTCAAGAATCCTAAAAGTGGGCAACTGGTTGTGAGAACCAGGGTAATGTAGTGGTTAGACTGAAAAGACCTGGGTTCCAATCCTCCCCTGGCCATGGAGTCCACTGGGTGACCTTGGGTCAGTCAGACCTTGGGTCACTCTCAGCCTTACAGGGTTCCCGTGAGGTGAAATTGTGGGGTTGGGAGAGATGATGTATGCTTGCCTCGAGAGCCTTGGAGGAACGGTGGGATACAAATGTTGTAAAATAAATGGACAAATAAATCATTTGGATATGAAGCGAGAATACTCTGCACATGCTTTAAGTTGCTTTTTAATTGCACTTTGAAAGGTTATGTTTCAGCTCTATCACATGCATGTTTACTCTGGGATAGGGATGGGCTAAACAGTTAATTTCAACTTCTTGCAGTTTCTCATTTTTTCAGTCTTTATTTCACCACATTCCCACATCAGTTTGCAGGGGGCAGGAATTCAAAGCCCCATGAAAATCCACCAGCATTTTAGTGTTTATTTCTTCTACTGTGCACATTTTTGTATGCAATTTTGTCTGGTTCAAAGCAGTTTACCCTAATAAAATGCACATCCGTATGTTATTTTCACAAATATATGCATTTTTAAGGACAATTTATATTGCAAGTGCATTTTTGCAAAAGGCTAAGGAACACTGGGGGCATATACAGGGTGATTCCAACCGGTTGCTGTTTTTGGGTGGGATCTAATCACATTCCAGAAAATTCAAGTTCCACAATTAAAGTTGGTTTGGTGCTCTTGAGCAACCCCATTCACTTCCCAAAAGAGCAAACTTTGCAATAAGGAAAGTGATGGGAAAACACAGTGGAAAGTGTGACAATCACGTGATGCAATGCGGAATAACTTCCCTGCGAGGAAAGCAGAATGATTTTTCAATAAACATCCAAATAACCACACCACAAGCTTTTCATAAACAAATCAGGATGAACAGGTCGTCTGGAAGTGTCCTTTGTGGCACTTCTCTTTCTCTGTCTCTTAAAAAACCTCTGTCCGTTCAAGTATTCAGTGCCTTTTAAAATGTGCCCTCTATCATTTCCCATTTGCAATTTTCATCTGTCTCAGGCGAAAGATTTGATTTTGTTTGTCAAACCCTGAAGGAGGAAGAGGGAAGCAAACTAATTCATTGCAAACTATCTTCTTGGAGCTTCTCAGACACAAGATTACCTAGAAGAGAAATGATGGGCTCTTGCACCACCTCCAGTCATTACCATGGGGCATTCCTGAAAGACTATGTTTTGCATTTCCAGAGCAGAGGGTGTTATCTCCAAAGTCCTGTGTCCAGATCTCAGCACCACAGTTTAAGAAGGTGGTTGACAAGCTGGAATGTGTGCAGAGGAGGGCAACCAAGATAACGAAGGGTCTGGAAACCAAGGCTTATGGGGAAAGGTTGAAGCTTAGCCTTGAACAGAGGAGACTGAGAGGAGATATGAGGGCCATCTTCAAATATCTCAAGGGCTGTCACGTGGAAGAGGGAACAAGCTTGTTTTCTCCTGCTCTGGAGGGCAGAACTCAAGGCAATGGCTTAAAGTTGTAAGAAAGGAGATTCCTACTAAACATCAGGAAGAACTTTCTGATGGTAGGAGCTGTTTGACAGTGGAAAGGTCTGCTTTGGGAGGTCTCTCCTTCCTTGGAGGTTTTTAAGCAGAGCATGGATGATCATCTGTCATGGATGCTTCAGCTGAGATTCCTGCATTGCAGGGGGTTGGGGTCCCTTGGGGTCCCTTCCAGCTCTATGATTCCACAATCCTGACAGCAATTAAGACGGGAAGGGGCGAGGAAGCAAAGTAAATGAATCGTGAATTGCTTGTTAAACGTTCTGGGGAGGGAAAAGTGTTTTAAGTGAAAGGCATTCCTGAAAGAAGCTGCGTGCGTCTGTGGCTATTATGCTTGATTATAATAAATTAATCCCGATATGAGATGAGGCCAGGCGTGGCTGCAGACAGTGTTGCCCCCCCCTTTGGTTAAATGTATATAAAAAAGAAGGGAAATGTGATCTGCACACTTCGCACTGCCTAAAAATAACAGTGAGGCGCCCTGAATGAAACCTCCTTTGTTTAACTGGGTTTTTAAGAAGCCGCCACACACACACACACAGAGAGAGAGAGAGAGAGGGGGCAGCCCACCAAGGGACAAGTGGCTACATTTCAAAGACAGCACATCATCTTCACGGAGCCTCACCTTTGAGGGTGTGGTTTCAGCAGGGTGTATTCTGCTGTGGGACAGAACACGCCCCGTGAGGAGTATAAAAGGGGAGCTGGCTGACACTGCCAAGGCCAGCTTTTTCCATGCGCAGCCAAGCCGAGTAACAGTCTCACAGCTGAACTTCCATTCATTGCTGCCACAATGTCTTTCTATCAGAGCTCCTCTTCCTCCTACGGTGGTGGTCTGGGTGCTGGCGGGGGATCCAGCCGCATCTCCTCTGGCCGCTTTGGATCATCCAGCATCCATGGTGGAGGCGGTGGCCGTGTGTCTTCCTCCTCCGTTAGGCTTGTCTCTTCTGGAGTAGGAGGTGGTTATGGATGTGGGGTAGGAGGAGGTTTAGGAGGCGGCTATGGCACTTCCTTGGTTTCTGGTGGTGGTCTTGGCTACGGCGGTGGCTTTGGTGCTGGAGGAGGCTATGGAAGTTGCTTTGGTGCTGGAGGTGGAGGTGGAGGCGGCTATGGCTTTGGGGACTTTTTGGCCGGGGGTGGCGGCGGCGGCGATGGAGGCCTCCTGAGTGGGAACGAGAAGATTACCATGCAGAACCTGAACGACCGCCTGGCCAACTACCTGGACAAGGTGCGTGCTCTGGAGGAAGCCAACACTGAGCTGGAGGTGAAGATCCGAGAGTGGCACATGAAGCAGGCTCCCACCAGCCCATCCAGGGACTACAGCCACTATTTCAAGATCATTGAGGACCTCCGTGACAAGGTAAGATCATTCATAGACTTGTAGAATTGTAGAGTTGCAAGGGACCCTGAGGGTCCTCTAGTTTACCCTTGTGCAGTGCAGGAATCTCAGCTAAAGCATCCATGGCAGAGGGCCGCCCAACCTCTGCTTAATAAAAGCCTCAAGGAAGGAGAGTCCACAGCCTCACAAGGAGGATATGCCAGTGATGAGAGATGGCTTTCTGAAGCTTCCATCTTCTGATACTTTGTTGCTGTAGAAAATGGCAAATTTAATCACGATGTATCAGATATCATCATCATTCCTATGATGCTTACAATCCATCTTTTGGCAGGAATCTATGGTACAATTCCTGATTTGGATTGTGGAAGTAATTGTTTTTATCATGCTAAATCAATAATAATAACAACAACAACAACTGATAAACGTAACTGATTTGAAAAAAAATGAAGTTAAGGGACATCACAAAATTAGCAAGACATGATTAAAAGTGTTTAGGACCAAGCCCAGACTAATTCAGTTAGGTTGTTTGTGGGACAGAAAAGCAAACAGCGACTAGTCATTCACTCTGATGTGCATAGCTTTGCTGCAATAAACTACTGAAGTTTCTAACTTTCATATTGAACCAGAAGATAAGTCATGGAGAAAACTTCACTTCTGTGTTAAGTAAAGCTTCACCACCTTAATTTCTGACTATGAGACTAATGTTAAAAGTACAGGAGTAGAGACTGTTATGGTACTGGCCAATCTATTCCATGAATTTACCGTTGTAACCTGGGATTTACCCATCACCCTATCTGCATCCTAGGCTCTGGGTGTGTTTCATGCCATGCCTTGGGTGGGCTTAAGCCCTCAGATCTGCAAGTCTTTTATCTTTGATTCTGAATAGTGCAGAGGGTGGTTGTGGTTACATAGCAATGAAGGAAAGGAACTGTGTACAAGTTCCAAGGCACTCAGCTACTGCCCCATAAAATCCGAGGGACTGGGTTATAGAAATGTATGGCTGTTTGGCACTTGTTTGAGTGCAGCCTGATGCCTTATTGCTAAGTGACAAACCAATCACTTAATGAATGAATCCCACTGAGAAGCATTGTGTTTAAGGGGAAATGAAGACTCTGACACATTTGCTCTGTGATGCCTCACTACACATGCAAGTAAACATGGGATGTTGCAGTCATCAGTGGATGAGCATGCACAAGCGAGCAACTGACCCTAAATTTCTAGTCTGTGCCCACCACTGCAGTAAGCTCCTTGGAGCTAATAAACTAATAACTTGCTTGCATTATTCACTTCACTAGGTCTTTATTAGTAATAAACTAAAGAAATGGCCCATGATGGGAAAACCAGGGGGCTCTATTTAGTCCAGGGATGGGGAACTTGTGGTGGTTGAGCTGTTGCTGGGCTCCAGCTTCCATCAACCCCAGTCAGCATGGTCAGGGATGGTGGAAGCTGTAATTCAAGAGCAGGAGGTGAGCCATCCCTGCTTTAGGTGAGCGATTCCTGCTTTAGGATGTCATTGGAAGGAAGGTCTCCCTTCCGTCATTCACTTTTGTCCAGATGTTGTGGGACGCCCTTCTCCATCACTCCCAGCCAGCATGGCCCAATGGAAACAACAACCGAAGGACCACAGAATCCTCACCCCCAATTCAGACCACAGATATTTGCTTTTGTGGTATCTGTTCAAACATGCCCCAAACTGGAAACCTTCCCACACATATATCAAATACTGATGCTCTTGACTGTGTCATCCACCACTTCTTATAGCTGAGAAATGGTGTCTCTGCTGTCCTCCACCATTTTCCTATGAAACTCCATTAAGACCAATACAACCCTCTCCAATATTAGAAGAGGGCTGGGCACATTGCTATTTATCATCCCTATAGGGCTTCACTGTGCACTCATTTTTTCTTCCTCCTCATTCATCCTCACCAACAATCCTGTAGAGCAGATCGTTTTGTTTCCCTTTAGACTTGGATGAGCTAAGATTAATATACCGAGGGCATCAAATCCAGCAAAACAGACATTGTCCCACTGAAGTCAGTGGAACTTAATTGCACATTAAATGCCCAGCCTGGGAGCAGCTAATGTGGTGCCTTCCAGATGTTGTGGTCTGCTTCTATCAGCTACAGCCACCATGGCCAATGGTCATGGGTGGTGAAAATTATAATCTACAACATCTGGAGTCCCTATTGATTTCAAGGGGCACGGAGTACTTTTGTTAGATCTGGAAGTCCAGATTGGCTTGAGCAAAGTCTGAACTCAGTTCCTCTAGGTCCAGATCCAATGGGCCAGATCCACTGGATCACAACCATAATTAACTTTGCATTTATGAAAGATGTGGCAGTGTACCTTTTATAGCAATATATAAATCCATTTTTTGAAAAGAAGTTTGCATTTCATATGACTACATTTCAGGAGGAACAGCTTCTAAACGCTGCTCTTGCATCATTTAAGGTAGAGTTCCATGTCATCCTAGACTATTTCAAAGAGTCCTTGGGGAGTCATTACCCCCCATGCCAGAAGCTAGAATCCCATTCTAAGGGCTGCATATTCTCCATACCCTTAGATATATGGCTGGAAGTCATAATAATTTTATTTTAATGAAATATTAAGAAGTCTGCCAGTCAATTATACTGCATTGTAGATTAACTGCACCTAAACTTATTCAGTCAAGGGCTCACCTGTACAGGAATGGGTCTGCTACTTTAATTCGGATGGCTCATCTTCTACTGAAATACATAAAACTGCCCTTGGATGTTTGCCAAGAAAAAGATGGCAGACAACTGTTTGGGTAGAACATCCTTTATTGCAAAGGTTGGAACAGAGCCTCAGTTGGGTCCCAGACTATAATTCTCTGAGGGGAAAAAACATAATGTAAAAAAAAAGAAGGAACAGATCACACTATGCCAGATGGGAGGATGCTAAGACTTGCCAGGAAAGAAATTAGGTTAACTAGTTTTTCCTCAGAAAAATCCTAGGCAGCTGAAGAAGTTTGTATGAATTAATTTCAAATTTAGTCATCCAGAACAGCCTTCCCCAAGCTGGTGATCTCCAGATGTGGTTGGACTACAACTCCCATCATGCTTGACCATTGGCCAAGCTGACCGGGGCTGATGGAAGTTGGAGTCCAACAACATCTGAAGGGCACCATGTTGACTAATGTCAGTCTAGAATATCTACTGCCCTCTAGATGCAAATTCACAATCACTAATGTTGATGTCATGACCTGTACAGATCACCCACAAATTAAGTCCCTGACAATTCTCCACTTGAACAACCATTGCATTCTCAGATAATGAAAAATGTTTGCTAACATTCATGGGCCCTCCTCTCTTCTCTGTTCCTTTGGTATAGATCCATCATGCCACAGTTGACAATTCAAGGATTGTCTTGGAGATTGACAATGCCAGGCTGGCTGCTGATGACTTCAGACTGAAGTAAGTTTCTTCTCTATTCTTTTTTCCGCTATTCGAGGTCTCTCACTGGGGGAATGGAAGTGAGAGAGGAATGAAGGAAAAAGGAAAGGAAGTGAGGGACAGAAAGTTTGGTGGAGGGTGTATTTAAAATATCAGCTGAAAGAAAACCAGAAGGGGAGGGAGGGATGAAGACCTCAAGAAATACATCTCAAGAAATACAGGTGGCAGACTTTATTGGAGAATGTTTATCACCCATTATTGACTTTTTCCTTTTTCTTTTTTGAAACTGGCAGATATGAGAATGAGCTGCACCTCCGCCAGAGTGTTGAGGCTGACATCAATGGTCTGCGCAGAGTCCTGGATGAGCTGACTCTGTCCAAATCTGATCTGGAGATGCAGATCGAAGGGTTGAAGGAAGATCTGGCTTACCTCAACAAGAACCACGAGGAGGTGAGTGAAGGAAAAAGAAAGGGGCAGGGAAACTGCAGCCAACTTTACAATTCAGTTTGGGGGCATCCATTAAGAGGTGTTGGGTCTGCCTTTCAATGTGAGCGTCGTACACAAAAGTTGCATGAATTACATAAGAGAATAATCCCTACAGAAGTTCATAAACAGGAGCCCACAAGTGGCAAAGCAGGGGCTCACCAACGGCAACCCCCCCAAAAAAAATTATGAAGCTTACCATATGAGCTGACCATTCCTGACAAAGCTACTGGCAAAAGAGCACAGAGTGCCTCTTTCAAAATGGCACCAGAATGCATCTTGGGGTGCAGCATCAATGTTGTGGATCAGAGGGAGGGGTTGCAACAAGCTTACAATCCCTCGCCCACCTTCTCTCTTGCACACATGGCAGGTTACTCCTTCCCTAGAAACCTCCTTCCCTGAGCGGCAAATACAAAGGGCCACAATTACTTTCCCCCTTCAGGAAGCAAGAAAGCCAGGCCTTCTTGACCAATAGAAACAATGGTTGGGTACCAAGCTTAGCAGAAATGTGCGCAGCCCTGTTGCATGTTGCCATTTGCCGTTAATCTCACGAAGGCCATTCTACACAGCAAGGCTTCCAAGTACATCATGACTTATTGCAGAATGCTGAAAGGGGCAACCCGTTGCCTACTGGGGGAATCCTCACCTATGTCCTCTCCCTTCTTGCCCTACCAAGCTAATGAAAGAGTACAACACTCAACTGACGGGAACCGTCAACGTCGAGATGGACGCCGCGCCCGGAATCGACCTCACCAAAGCTCTGGCTGAGATGAGAGAGCAGTACGAACAACTGGCGGACAAGAATCGCAGAGATGCGGAAGCCTGGTTCTTCTCGAAGGTAGGGGCTTCTCTCCTAGGGACTAGGGACCGAAAGAATATTGCCTGGTTCAACAGATCACTTTCAGGGTCTTGAGCCCCTCCAAAGAATCTTAGGAACTGTAGTTTAATGAGGACTCTGCTAAAAACCCTTCTGAGAGTTGGTTTTCAGGGCCCCCCTCTGAAAAAAGGAAAATGTGTATTAACACAGTTCCACTCTGCAGACCCAGATGTTGCTCCCATCATCTCTGACCATTGGCCATGTTGGCTGGGGGTGATGGGAGTTGGATTCCATCAATATTTAGAGGGCCCCTGGTTCCTCATCCCTACTATACCTCCTTAACTGGGATGAAGTCCCATTCAACACAGTGTGACATTCATAGGTTTGCACTGTCAGTCTGGCGTATGTATTACTTATAGCATGATTTTTTTCCTTTTCATTGTAAAGATTCCCAGCATGAAACTTTTTCACCCTCCTTCTTTCAGACTGACGAACTGAACCGCGAAGTGGCCACCCACACGGAGCAGATACAGAGCGGCAAGAGCGAGGTTTCGGAACTGAGGCGCACGATACAGAGCCTGGAGATTGAGTTGCAGTCACAGCTTAGCATGGTATGTGGCAACTTCCTTGAATGAAGTTGACTGACAGATAAAGGGCCTACGAATTGCCATGCTGGGGTCACTCCAATGGCATAGCTAGTTGGCATATTTTGTCTATCCAACGTGGCCAACCAGACGTCTTAACGGCACAGACATTCCCAACGGAAGTAGGTAGTGAGAGCTACCCTCACTGTTACTTCCTGCAAGTATCAGTAATCGGCGATACTCAAACTTTCATGAGATCTAGAAACACCGACAGATAGAGCGTTGGTCATCAGCACTCTGACAGAGGTTTGCGGTTTGCAGTGTTTGTAGATTTCTGGATCTTCTGCTTTTTCTCCCTCATTAGAAAGCTGGCTTGGAAACCAGCTTGGCAGAGACAGAAGGACGGTATTGCGCTCAGCTGGCCCAAATCCAGAACCAGATCTCTGGTGTGGAAGAGCACTTGGCCGAGTTGAGGAACGACATGGAGCGCCAGAACCAAGAATACAAGATGCTCATGGACATCAAGACACGGTTGGAACAGGAGATCGCCACCTACCGCAACCTGTTGGAGGGCCAGGACTCCAAGTACGTAACTGGGCAATCAGAATAAGCCACCAAAGGGGAGAGATCTCCCAAAGGCTTCATCATATGTGATATTTTTAGGTGTGCATCTAAAACAGTGTTTAAGGTCCTCCCCCATACAAATGTAAAGCATGATTATGAGAAAAAAATGCTTGAAATCAAGTGTATCTTATAGATGTTCTCTTAGAGAGCCAGTGGCAACTTTTGGAGTATCCAGTTAGTGACAAATCAGATTTCTTTTTAATAATAATAATAATAATAATTTTTATTTAGACCCCGCCCTCCCCAGCCAAGGCTGGGCTCAGGGCGGCTAACAAGCAATAATAAAAACAAGTTGAATGAATACAACTTAAAAACAAAATTAAAATACAACATTAAAATATTGAAACATTAAAATATTAAAATGTAGCCTCATTGCAGGAGGAGAAAGGAAAAGAAAAAAGAAAGACGGGGAGGGAATCAAATTGGCTCCAAGCCAAAGGCCAGGCGATGCATAAAAATGGCCCTGATTTTATTGGCCCGCCTCTTAGAAACACCAGTGCTGAGATTGATGTCAATTTCATTTTTAGAATGGGAAGAGGTGTGCAAATTCTAGGTCATCCCTAAGACATTGAAAAATGGCGCGCCTGCTTTTCTGACCAGTTTTCTGTTTCTGCTGCTTACTCCGTGGACAGTGGGGCCTGCCCCCATGTCTGTTATTCTAAAGGTGTAGGTTGCCTATTTCTATCAATAGCGATACTAGAAGTGACACCCATTGCATCATAAGAACTCAAGCCCTGGTGGAGCAGGCAAATGGCCCATCTAATCCAGCAACTTGTTTGCACTGTGGCCAATCAGATGCCTGTGGGAAGCCTGCGAGCAAGAGCCAAGCATAAGAACCCTCTTCTCTCCTGTGGCTTCCAGCAAGTGGTGCTCAGAAGCATGACAGTCTCCAACCATGGAGGCAGACCATGGATAGCAGATGTCAATAGCCCTCTCCTCTGCGAATTTGTCTATTGCTCCATCACTTCTCTGTCCAGTGGGAGGGTTAAGGAGAAACCTTATTTTACCTCACTGAAAACAATGACCATAAAAAGTTTTCAGCTTTGTCTGACTTTAGATTTACTTTGGGGATGTGATGTCCCATGATATCTCAACACTGAGAGTGGGTATTTTCAGCTCTTCCTGTCCTGATGTCTCTGCTGTGACCTTGCTGATGTCTTCTTTCCCAGGGAATAGTTTCATAATTTGGGAAAGGGCAATATTGTGAATTACAATTCATTTTGCATTCTCTGTTAACTATCCACATTATAATAAATCCATTATTCAATGGGGTCAGCAATCCCAATGGCCAGCCATATCAGAAGGTGCCCTACTATATCTCAAAGCATCTTTTGTCCTGTTGTTTCTGACACATCTGGGGACAGAGATTCCCCAGGGCAACTACTGTTGCTCGTAATGATCTATTAATTGCCCTTTCTTTTCCTCCTTCTTTACAGGATGACAGGATGGTCAAAGGAAGGTAAGGATTCCCACTGCCATATAAAATATATTTGTGAAGTGAGCCCGGGTGGGTTCTTTTGCTGCAGAAGATGACTTGCAATGCTGGTCTTTGTTTCTGGAAGGCTAATGATACTACACGCCCCAAGAGGGAGCTGCAGAACCATAGTCAGATATATGCATTGTATATAGAAGATCACAGGTTCAAATCTTCAGCCATCAGTTAAAGCAGGAGCAGCCAAAATAGTGCCCTCAAGATGTTGTTGGACTACAACTCCCATCAGTCCCAGCCTATGGTCAAGGATGGTGGGAGTTGTGGTCCAGCAACATCTGAAGGGTGTCTACCCTTGAGTGAAAGGATCTCAAGGTTTGGGATGGGAAATATCTCTGGCTGAGATAGTGGAGGATTTCTTATCAGTCCATGTGAGCAGCATTGGTTTGGTCTAAGGCAGAGGTGAGGAACCAGTGACCCTCCAAATGTTGCTGGACTACAACTCCCATCATCCTTTGCCATTGACCCTCCTGGTTGAGGCTGATGTGTGCTGAAGTCCACAGCCTTTGGAGAGCCACAGTTTCCCCACCCCAGTCTTGGAGCAAAACTGCACAATATGTTAAGCATGGGTGCTGCTATCGAATATGTATGTCAGGACACTGACATGCACGCGGAATGGGGACTGAATTTTCCACCCCAGTTCTGCAGTCACAGCAAAAATTGCCTTCCACCCAAGTTGCATTTTGCCTTAGAAGGAAATCTTGCATTGGCATGATATGCAGTTTGTCTCAAAGTTGTAATGCTTCTTCTAGCTTGTTTCTCCAAAAAGCTTCTCTATACAGTACCTAGAGACCTTTCAAGCACACAGATGCACATCACTTCCCCTTAAAACTTTGTTAGGCACTTGCAACTGGGTAAAACCCTCGTTCTTGAGACTGAGAGTTCTAGGTTACACAAGCAAAAAAACAGCAGTCTGTACTCCTTCACCCACCCATTTTCTCAGCCCCTAACTACACTGTCAGAGTCATTTGAGTTATTCTAACAGGGATGGGGAATCTGTGTCCCTCTGGGCATCACTGGACTCCGACTCCCATCATTCCCGATCATTGGTCATGCTGGCTTGGACTGGTGGGAGTTGGAGTCCAACAACATCTGGAAGGCACAAGGTTGAGGAATGCTGGTATACTCAATCTTGGAAGCAAAAAACTGAAGAAGATCTGGGAGGTCATCTAAACCACATTCACACTATACATTTAAAGCACTATGACACCACTTTAACACACCATGGCTCCCGATCCCAAGAATTCTGGGAGCTGTAGTTTGTTCAGGGTCCTGAGAGTCGTTAGGAGACGCCCTATTCCCCATTTGCAGAGTAGTTTCACAGCCAGTCCCTCCTCACGGGGATCCAGACATTTCCTCCTGGTTTGAAGATTTTGGGGGTGTGGGGGATATAAGAAAACCCTGCAATCCTGTACATACTTACCTGGGAGTTAGTCCTATTGAACGTAGTGGGCTTTACTTCCAAGTAGAAATGCATAAGGTAGACAATCAGAGAAGGAAGATTACTGTCTGACTTAAAATGGTCACCATGGCACGCTGTTTATGGAATTCGAAACCAGTGAGGATTTGAGGTTGTATGCAACGCAGGGGTCTCACGATGTCCTTCATTAATACGTTCTTCCACTCTTTCTCTCAGGATCCCATGGTGGAGGTAGCACCAGCATCAGCTACCACAGTAGCAGCAGCGGTGGCGGCAGCGGCAGCGGCGGTGGCAGCGGCAACTATGGCAGCAGCACCACCATCACAACCAGCAAAAAGCACTCCACCAGCAACTTCTGAATCTCCTGAGGAACGACGCTCCGGTTCCAAAAGCTGTGCTCAGCTATGGGGAGAAACCTGCCCGCAAGACGCCCACAGCTCACTGCGATTAACGCATGCACCCCTCCTTGCTTTACTCAAGTGTGCCTCGGCTTGGCCACTTTCTTAACGGCATCCCCTCACCAGCTTTGCCTTCCTCGTCATCATCACGACAGATGCACGTTTTTGTAACGCTCTCAATAAAGAGGTCTCCTCAAGCTCTTTTTGCAAATAATCACGTGTCGGGGTGTTTATTGGTAGCTCTATGAAGCAACTGGGTTTTGCAATTTGTGCCAGCCACCTCTGTTGACATCATCCACACACACACCACAAAAAAAGGATGGAGGGGAAGTTACTTATTATTTTATTGCATTTATATCCCACCTTTTCCTCCAAGGAGATCATGGGGGTGTACATGGTTCTCCCCTTCCTCCATTAGTCCTCACAACAACCCTGTGAGGCAGGTTAGGCTAAGAGGCAGTGTCAGTGACAAGCTTCAAGGGCCAGTGGGGATTTGAACTCTCAGCCTCCTAGGTCCAAGTCCAGCGCTCTAGCTACTACAGCACACTGGGTCCCACCCAACTCCCCCTTTCATACTGAAATTTGAACCCCGAGAAATTCAACACCTTGCATTCATGGAACACAAACTGCATATTTCCTACAGCTGAACTGACTTTGATGCCCCCTTCATCGACCTAGGATCTCTTGCAATAACCATTTGAGGTTTTTTAATATAGTGATTATAACCCCCTGATTAAATCAGATTTAATAGATGGTTTATTGAAGCAGGGGATTGTTTTGTACTGTAATGGCCACATTCCCTCAAGGGAAATCTTTCTGGAGATGGGTGGAGCCAAAAGTGAGTGGCCTGCCATCTCTTCTCCCCCTCTTTCTGCCAATCCCTTCTCTCTCCCCTCTGCTATTTCCTCCTTGCCCCATGAGATGCTGGGGGAAGGGACAGATTAATCTTGCCCCAGAGGCATAGACTGATCGTTTCCAGAGGGTCCTTCCCATCCATTGCTCCATCCACACTATATGTTCAAACCATTGCCAATGGTCTGAAATTAAAATTTTAAGTGCCTCACCCCCTTTCAATTGCTCTATCCATGTTGGTTCCCCTGCCCAACTCTCCTCTTGTCTCTATGGGGCTCCCACCACTGTATGAAATGTGGCTTAGGGCTGCACATTCCCCACCCTTGTCTCAAAGAGGGGGCGGTGGAAGTAAGCCAACTCTACTTCTTGGCCATGATCCTAGAATCCAGTTTATAAAAGACAACTCCCGCTGTAAAGCAGGTGAGGGGTGCTCTTATTTGTTTTATGAAAAGCAAAGAAAACAGCACATAAAAATCTCGGAGGAAAACAAGGTCTATAAAATGGGAAAGTCAGTTTGAACAATGGGGTGCATCAAAGAACCTTGCACAGGTCAGCAGCATTTTCATTGTCATGCCTCTGTGTAATTCTGAATCACAGCAATGGCTGTGCCACATGGCTGATATTATTATTATTATTATTATTATTATTATTATTATTATTATTATTCTCCAGGCTAGCTGAAAAGCCAGAGCAACATAAAGGCTGTCTACCAAATACAGTCATTCCTTGGAAGCCAAACGCCTTGGCACTTGAATGTTTAAGCTCCTAAATGCTGCAAACCCGGAAGTGAGTGTTCTGGTTTGCGAACGTTCTTTTGGAACCCGAACGTCCGGCGCAGCTTCTGCGGCTTCCGATTGGCTGCAGGAATTTCCTGCAGCCAATCGGTAGCTGCGCCTTGGTTTCTGAACATTCCATTCGGCTTCCAAGGTACCACTGTACCTGCTCCTTATTATAATAAACGATTGGTGCAATTCTACAGCAGCCCTTAGATGGCAGTGCTGGACGCTGAAGCTGAAGGACAACATCGTTCCAAACCCTGGTCCTAGTCTGACACTAACCACTACACCGCACTGTCTCTCAAATGTGGGCATGCATAATATTTGTTTTCTTGGCTGATTTATGCTGCCTTGGAATCGTTGCTGATGGAAGAGTCACCAAGAAACCAACAGTATAAGAAATAAGCAAAAGATAACAGATATGCAAAACTAGGTTTTGAGTGTGGAGCGATGATGGCAATGCTTCACTTTTAGACACAACCCAGGTAAGGCCCAATTCAAGGAGTTAATAGCAGCTGACTGCTCAGATAAAACAAATGAAAATGACAAGCTCCAGATATGAACTGAAATAAGGGACTGCATCCTTCAATCTTTTATAAGGACATTATTACAAAATCTTAATGATTCAGGTATGTTAGCGCCTGTTCATGGAAGCTCGGCGCATTCTCAGGTATTAAATATGAGTGTTGGCAAGCTAATAAAAAATAATAGTATGTTATCCAATCTGCATTCCAGCAGCCAGGTAAGACAAAACAAGGGGCTTTCAGAGACTCATCATTATCACTTGTAAAAATTACCCGCATCAGCTCAGCTGCTACTCCTGAGTCAGCACACACGACCCAGTGCATATCGCCCTTTATGGGGAATGTCATAAAAAATCACATCTAAATTATACAGCCACCAATTCAAATGACACTTAATAGCAGGAGGGACAACAAATGAAAGTCGAGGACAAGAGTGTCGAGGGGGAAAGGAGCATATTCTCTCAAGGTGTCTTAAGAGGAAGACGACTGGCAATGAAAACACAGAGCTGATGTCAGTAGAGGAAAATTGAGACCTCTTTTGGGGTACGACAACAATGGAGTTGAAGAGCAAAGTGTGCTGGCAGAACCTAAACACAATGGATGGCAAATTTTGGGTGAATTCCTGTTGCTTCTCTGAACCAGGATATAGTTGCCTTTCTTTCTATGAAAATGTGGTACCCTATTTCTCAAGTAAACTGGTGGGTTGTCACTCGAAGATGTTGTGAATGGTTGCAATAATCAAGGCGGCAACAAAATTATTGCTGGATGATGCTGTTCTTACAGATGCGGATGACGTGGATATTTGGAATACAGCCCAACTGGTGATAAACCATTCTATGGATGCAAGAGGAAAACATGGGTTTCTATTACTTAAGACTGCTGTTTGACCTTTTTGTAATCAACCCATAGAAATGCTCAGTGGGTCCCTAGTTTGGGGACTAAGTGATGTGTCCAGACTCTTCACTAAGAACAGATCTTTTTTTTCCTTTTTTGTGAAAAAAAACTTCATAAATTTGGGCTTGCATTTGGATCGAATGTTGATTAAAATGCCCCCAGCTGCTCAATATGATGCAGTCACAAAAAGCGGCCGAACTGCTGAGCAACAAAGGTGCATTAAAAAGATCTCATGTTGAATATGGTGTTGAGCTCTCCTGGTTTGTAAAGGAAAGTGCATCAATAAGATATACAGTCCAGAAGATAAATTACAGCTTGAGGCACAGAAGGGAATAAAGCCAGTGGACAAGGTGAGAACTATGAACATGAAGGAGACAATGAACAAGAGCTGCTTGAGGAATTCTCTCTTTGTGGATTCAGATTCGAAGTGACATGATCTGTAGGCCATGGACCAATGTGCAGGTTGGAAGGTAGTTATCCTTTGGTTTTTTTGCAATTCTCCATATTTTCTGTTGCTGTTTTCAGCTCAAAAAGGCATAAAATTCCACCTAAAATTGTGTATCATTGGATGAAATACACATAAATGTCTTTCGGGGGGGGGCAAATAAGTATATAAGCAAAATTTAAATATAATTTTAAAGCATTTTCTTTTTAAAAAAATTAATGTGGAAATGGGACTGAACAGATTTTTGCTGGCTGATAAATAGACTGACCTGTTTGTAAAGAACATAATCTGACAGCTGGCTGGGAGACAGGAATCTAAACATGCTCATTTGCTAGAGCATTAATTTCCGTTCTTCCATTAATTTCTTTATATCCCTCTTTTTAAATGTGAGATTTGTGGGTTGTATCTGATGCTAGCCCTACTCAGAAAAGACCCACTGAAGTTAATTATCATTACTAACTCAGAGTTACTAATTTCAATTGTTGTTGTTGTTTAGTCGTTTAGTCGTGTCCGACTCTTCGTGACCCCATGGACCAGAGCACGCCAGGCACTCCTGTCTTCCACTGCCTCCCGCAGTTTGGTCAAACTCATGCTGGTAGCTTCGAGAACACTGTCCTACCATCTCGTCCTCTGTTGTCCCCTTCTCCTTGTGCCCTCTATCTTTCCCAACATCAGGGTCTTTTCCAGGGAGTCTTCTCTTCTCATGAGGTGGCCAAAGTATTGGAGCCTCAGCTTCAGGATCTGTCCTTCCAGTGAGCACTCAGGGCTGATTTCCTTAAGAATGGATAGGTTTGATCTTCTTGCAGTCCATGGGACTCTCAAGAGTCTTCTACAGCACCATAATCCAAAAGCATCAATTCTTCGGCGATCAGCCTTCTTTATGGTCCAGCTCTCACTTCCATACATCACTACTGGGAAAACCATAGCTTTTACAATTAGTTTACTCTGAATAGAAGTATGGTGAATGCAGACCTGCACCCCTTCATTCTCTTAGATAAAGATTGCCTGCTTGGCTAATGTAATTTTTTGATGAGTAATGTTGTAAAATAAAGTGATATACTATGCTTTAGGACACCATTCTAAGCTCACTTATCTGGGAGTAAGCCCCACACGGAAACCAATGGGACTTACTCCCGAGCAGACAGTGCTAGGCTTATACTGTTAGCTATTAAAAGGTGTATAAACACTCCACCTGTCAGACAGGTGCACCTCTGCAGTTCAAGAGAGAAGCTTATAAAGATTTAAGACACTTCTGAAATCTTTAACAGGAGAAGCATATAAAATGTTTCTACAAAGGCCAGTTTTGCCAGCATCAGTTGTCTGCCTTTTCCCACACCCTTGGTGTATTTATTAGACTTGCAAGTAGGGATGGGCAAAGATGTCCAGTTTGGTTTCTCCTCATTGCTGATTTTTCCAATCTTAAGCTCTGTTCTCCACATTTCCTCATCAGTTTGAAATTTTATGAAAAGAATCCTAATGAAAATTCATCCACGTTATAGTGTGAATTTCTCATAATATGCACATTTTTGTATGCAACTTTCCTCAACATACACCTTGTTGCAAAGCAGTTTCCCCTAAAATAATGTATCTTTGCAACTTTGTATGTGCACACTTGTGCAGTAGTGTGTGCATTTTTGTACACATTATGTGACATTGCAAAATTCGGTGAAGTGCAGATATCAAAGGATGCTTGCATTTTGGTTTGCATCTTGTTCTGGAAGGCATGGATTAGGCCAGGGGTAGACAACCTAAGGCCTGAGGGCTGGATGCAGCCCAATCGCTTTCTCAATCCAGCCAGCGGACGGTTTGGGAAGCAGCGTGTTTTTACATGAGTAGAATGTGTCCTTTTATTTAAAATGCATCTCTGGGTTATTTGTGGGGCATAGGAATTCGTTCATTTTTCCCCCCTTCAAAATATAGTCCAGCCCACCACATGGTCTGAGGGACATTGGACCGGCCCATGGCTGGAAAAGGTTGCTGACCCCTGGATTAGGCAGATTCGCCCTTAAATGTGAGACAATTTGAATGAAAGGTTACAAGATTCAGGGCTTTTTTAGTGTAGATAAAGTCAAGTAGTGCATAAGATTGTGTGTAGTGTGGAGAAATTGGATAGACAGACTTTTTTCCTCCCAGAACTTGGAGACATACATGAAGCTGAATGTTGGAAGATTCAGGGCAGACCCAAAGAAAATGCTTCTCCACCCAGCACAGTTAAACTGTGGGATTTGTTCCTTCAAAATGGAATGATGGCCACCAACTTGGATTAGACCAACTCATAGAGGACAAAGTTAGCAATGGCTACTAGTCATGACGGCTATGTTCTCCCTTCACTGTTGGAGGGTGTATGCCTCTGAATGCTGGTTGCTGTGATTCACAGGTGGGGAGAGCGTTGTTGCACCTAGGTCTTGCATAAGCATCTGGTTGACCATTATGAGAACAGGATGTGGACAAGATGGTCCTTGGCTGATCCAATGGGGTTATTCTTATTTTCTCATGGTCTTAAACAGGCATAGGCAAACTCCGGCCCTCCAGATGTTTGGGACTACAATTCCCATCATCCCTAGCTAACAGGACCAGTGGTCATGGATGATGGGAATTGTAGTCCCAAACATCTGGAGGGCCCGAGTTTGCCTATGCCCGGTCTTAAAGAAGGCAACTGTTCAAGTTCACAAGTCTTCAGACTATGTGTTGATTTCATTTATTTTTAAACGTTGTACACCGTTTAATTGTCAAATCTTTGAATGTCTTACATCAGAAGCAGATGTTCCTGTTGTGATCCATTGTGGATCATTGTGATGGTCCATTGTGGATCACTTCTCAATGATGAGTGTTTCCATGTTACCATACCTCCACAATACCAGTCCACATCATTCTATGAAAAGGGGAGGACAGGGTTGATAGAAAGTTACATGTTGTGGTCTTATTGCAGGAAGCAGCTATTGGGAGAATCGCTAATTTTTCAGGCTGCATTCATTAGGAAGTAAGTCACTGAGTTGAATGGGACATATTATTATTATTTTTAGTAGACATGCTTACAACTGATTTGTTGTTGTAAGAATCCAGAAAGACACCCAAAAGTGTAACTTCTCTCGCAACAGTTGCTACTTGGGATCCCCACGCTCCATTAACGACTGCTGCTTAATGGTGATGAAAGATCTCTTTGATGATGCTATAAAATGAACACTGTAAATGGTGAGGAATTGCTAATGATGAGTCCTGACTTATCTAAGCCGTTTGGATTTTTTTTATGGGGAAGATGCCTCCTGATGGGCAGTTAAACCACAGGCTGTGAGATGTAGAGAGGAAAGCCGGCACAAACTTTCCCAAGAGAAACTGGCTTGGCAACACCCAAGATGTGGAGTATAAAAACCCACTAGTGGGGAATGACAGCTTCACTTCCTTGCAAATTTGAGGCTATCTAAGCTGCGCAGATCTGCTCAAGTGACCCAGGTTTTGGCTTCCCAGCTGGTGCCATGGCTTCCAAGTACTATGCTCAGACCATATCTTCTGGGTCTGTCAAGGGTGGGGGTCTAACTCGGATGTCTTCTGTCCATTCCACCGGCTCATGCAGAGCACCAAGCCTGGCCTTTGGCAGCAGGAGCATCTCCACCTCTTCCATGAAGCTGGGAGCTGGGAGCATTTGCTCACCTGGGCCTGGGTTTCTTGGAAGCTACGGCTGGCACGATGAAGGGATCCTTAGTTGCAATGAAAAGGAGCTGATGCAGTGCTTGAACGACCGCCTGGCCAGTTACCTGGAGAGAGTGCGCTGCCTGGAGCAGGAAAACGCCAACCTGGAATGCAAGATCCGGGAGTGGTATGAATGCCAAGTCCCCTACGTCTGCATCGACTTTCAATCTTATTACAAGATCATTGAGGAACTCCAGCACCAGGTAACGGTCGTCGTGAATATTTTGCATGCAGTGCAGGAATCCTGCCCACAGCCATCCCTGGGTGGGCTCGAACCACTAACCTTTTGGTTAGAAGCAAGATGCACTGACCTTTTGCACCACCTGTATTAACTATGGACAGCCTTATTCTTCACAATGTTGTCTAATCCCCTTTTAGGTAAAGGGACCCCTGACCATTAGGTCCAGTCGTGACCAACTCTGGGGTTGCAGCGCTCATCTCGCTTTACTGGCCGAGGGAGCCTGCGTTTGTCCTCAGACAGTTTTTGCGGGTCATGTAGTCAGTAGGACTAAGATGCTTCTGGCGAACCAGAGCAGCGCACGAAAACGCCGTTTACCTTCCGGCCTTACCTTACCTTACCTATTTATCTACTTGCACTTTGACGTGCTTTCAAGCTGCTAGGTTGGCAGGAGCTGGGACCGAGCAACGGGAGCTCATCCCGTCGCGGGGATTCGAACCGCCGACCTTCTGATCGGCAAGTCCCAGGTTCTGTGGCCTAACCCACCGTGCCACCCACATCCCTAATCCCCTTTTAAAGCCATCCAAATTGGCACCCCCATTCTTACATCTTGTGGTAGCAAGTTGCTTGGTTTAGCTATGTCCTGTCTGTGCAGGAAAAGGTCCTTTGCTTTGTCTGTTCTGTTTCTTACACCATCCGTTGAATGGCCTAGAGCTCTAGGATTATAAGATGCTGAGGAAAGCATCATCCTATCCACGTCCTTTATGCCATGTTATGCACCTCTCTCATGCTCCCACCTTACTGTTTATCTAAGCTAAAAAGCCTCAAACATTATAACCTGCCCCAGCCACCTGTTCCTTTTGGTTGGCCAAGTCTGGGGTGTGGGGAGGGGTTGGTGGGTTTTTTTGTTTTTTTTTAAAAAGTAGCATTCATAAGAACTCCACTTGTCTATTGTTAGTTTTAATAATGTTCCAGCCCCAGCCCTTTTGGAGAAGTCACTCTGATTTTCTCTCCCTAACTTTGTAGCCCCCTGCTTTCTTTGCAACTTTAAAAACAATTCACAGCTCCGCAATTTGTTCTCCAGATCTTGTGCGCCAAGACGGACAATGCCAGGTTGGTCTTGGAAATTGACAATGCTCGCCTAGCTGCTGACGACTTCAGGACCAAGTAAGTCCACCTTATTCAGAGCAAGAACTCGTGGCAGAGAGGTGATTTCAAATTTACTTGGGCCTCTGGTGTTTTAATACCAGTCTTACTGTATTGTAGATGTTACGGTTTAATGAAATATCTCCCTATTATACTGCTTCATAATAAGAATATATCTTATGCATTTTCAAAGTTGATATAAATGCTTAAAAGCTGGAGAAATGTATCCCAATAAAGTAAAAGCCTACTAAGTAATCATAACTCATTTGCAGCAATTCTACCAAATATAAATAGGTAAATGTATAAATATTAAATATTGGAACTATAGAAGACTCTTATGATTGAAAATAATAGAAAGCCCACATCTTCTCCTGCAATTTCATTTTTAAAAATGTGGTCTATGCTTGAGTCAAATAAAATACCGTATTTTTCGCCCTATAGGACGCACTTTTTCCCCTCCAAAAATGAAGGGGAAATGTGTGTGCGTCCTATGGGGTGAATGCAGGCTTTCGCTGAAGCCTGGAGAGCGAGAGGGGTCGGTGCGCACCAACCCCTGTCGCTCTCCAGGCTTCAGGAGAGCCCCACTGCCAGCCCCACAAGCTCGGGGGACAGCGGGGAGGCGCAGCGTGCCTTTCCCTGCTGTCCCCGACTTGGTTAGAAGGCTGTCGGGGGGGGGAGAAGCCTGCTCCTTCCCCTCAACAGCTCCGCAAACTTGGGGGACAGCGGGAGAGGTGCAGCGTGCCTTTCCCATTGTCCCCCCGACTTGGTTAGAAGGCTGGCGGGGGGGGGGAAGACTGCTCCTCCCCGTCGCCAGCCACGCAAACTCGGGGGACAGCGGGAGAGGTGCAGCATGCCTTTCCCGTTGTCCCCCCGACTTGGTTAGAAGGCTGGCGGGGGGGGGAGACTGCTCCTCCCCGTCGCCAGCCTCGCACTTGGTTAGAAGGCTGGCGGAGGGCTTCCCCCTCCTCCAGCCCCGCAAGCTCCCAGAGCGATGCCAAAGCTGCACGCAGCTTCGGCATCGCTCTGGGTCCCGTTCTGGGGGCTGGGGGAGGGGCTGGGGGAGGGGGAAGCTTGGGCGCCTGGGGGGGGAATAAAATGTTTTTCCTTTATTCCCCCCCCCCCCAAAATCTAGGTGCGTCCTATGGACCGGTGCGTCCTATAGGGCGAAAAATACGGTAAATAAATTATAAACCTGGGAAAGGCCCCTCATACCTTCCCCACAAATGATAACTCCTTGCTTCTTCTTTTCCATGCTGAAATAGAAAAGAACCTTGTGCTTGTTGTTTTTAACATTTACTGTTCCAAAGGTACGAGACAGAGCTGGCTCTTCGCCAGAGTGTTGAGGCTGACATCAATGGGCTGCGCCGAATCCTGGATGAATTGACTTTATGCCGGTCTGACCTGGAAGCTCAGCTTGAATCCCTTAAGGAGGAACTCATTTGTCTCAGGAAGAACCATGAGGAGGTAGTAGCAAACTTTCGCTGGGGAAAAGGTGACAAAATGCCACCTTGTGTTGTTGTAGACACAATCACATTCCACATGCAAATGAGGGTCTCCTTTCATAGGCGTGCCATCATTGTATTGAGAAGGGTGGCCAACATGGCACTATCTGGGTGTTCTTGTACTACAAATCCCATCCAGTTTCGCCAATAGTCAGGGATAACGGGAGCAACAACCCAAAATATCTGGAAGGCAACAAATTGGCTCCTCCTGTTGCTGAGGATCAACTGATAGTATCTCTATAATAGCAGCAGATGACCAAAAATGAAGCATTGAGGGCACGTTGAGAGATTAAGCTGCCCTCACCTGCTCCATGTTTATGGAACTCTCCCTGAGATTTTCCTCTTCTGGTTTTCCAGAGTCCAACAAGCTACACCTGCTGGACTTCCCTCTTCTACCCCATCATTAAAGGGGCAGGAGCCCTAACCTCTTTTTCACTAGGCCACCTTACTTGTGGCAAACATGGGTCTGGGTACTCTGATCACAATTCCTCTAGTAGGCAATGGGAGGAGGAAGAGAGGCAGTTGGCAGGGGGTACTGAACACTTCCAGGTGTCTACAGCTTCTCCTTCCACCCGACACAAATCAGGATTCCCAGCTGCATCTTAACTAGAATGGATAGAGGAACGTAGTGTGGCAAGTGCTGTAGCAGGAGAAAAACAGCATGTGTAAAGAGGAGTTAGCCTCTCTCATGTGCTGCTTTAAATCAAACCCTCTATGGAGTTACAGTGTCTCTTACTCACTCCTTGCTATAGAGGTCCACATCAAACAATGACCACCCAGAAATGTGCATTATGAAACATGGGCCTTCTCATCCTCCAGGAAGCAAACGGACTGCGCTCAAAGCTTGGGGCCAGAGTTAATGTGGAGGTGGATGCTGCCCCGTCGTGCGACCTGAACAAAATCCTGGATGAGATACGGAGTCAGTATGAGAGCCTGGCTGAAAAAAACCGCAGAGACGTTGAGACTTGGTTCACTTCTAAGGTGGGTATCCTGAGAAGTCATCTCTAAGTGATAATGTAGGACCAGTGGTTGACCTTAAAATGGAGGTGCATGCCCTCTCTGTCTTATTCTTTTTACTTTCCTGCTTGTTTTAGATGGAGGAGCTGAACCAGCAGGTGATCTCCAGTGGTGAAGAGCTTCAAACCTGCCAGTCAGAGATCATTGAGCTGAGGCACACTGTCCAAGCCCTTGAGATTGACCTGGATGCCCAACAAAACATGGTGAGTCAAGAGGATAATATTTGGGGGTGGGTGGGTGGGTGGGTGTGAGAGGATCTTGCCTTGTGCAGCCCAGATGACCATCTGCTACCTCCAGGAGCAACACTCCAGGCCTTGTCTACATAAATAGTTTTCTTGAAAAATAACCTGACATGAATTTTGTGGGAATGTTGAGGAAGGTCGGAGAGGATATATTCATTTTGTTTATTTCTCCCATCACTGGATCGTAGCCTCTTCAAGGCCTATGATTCTTTGAAACTTATTACCTGGGGAGGCCTAGAAACATGAGATCAGCTGACTGTGCATAAAGAAGAGAAATCCTCCTGCTCTCCATTCAAAATTATCTCTCTTATTCCCCTCTCAGAAAAATGCTCTGGAGTGCACCCTGCAAGAAACGGAGGCCCGCTATAGCACCCAGCTGGCTCAGCTCCAGTGCTTGATCAGCAACATAGAAGGTCAGCTAGGAGACCTCCGGTGTGACATGGAGCGCCAAAGCCACGAGTACAAGATTCTCCTGGATGTCAAGACACGCCTAGAATCAGAGATCACAACATACCGACGTCTGCTGGAAGGAGAAGATTGCAAGTATGTATAACTCAAACGGGCATTGCGTTTGTACAGCTCCATTTTAGGGTTGTTGTTCTTTCTACTGTTTACTATTAGATTCTAATGAATTATTGAGTATCGCTTTATTTTGATATAAGTAGTTTATTTTAAAGTTATTGTGGCTTTTTTGCATTGGATCAGATTGTTATTATTAATGTTTGATGTTTTATTATGCTTTTATGTGTGTTGGAAGCCGCCCAGAGCGGCTGGGGCAATTCAGCCAGATGGGTGATGTATGTATGTATGTATAAATAAATAAATAAATAAATAAATAAATAAATAAGTTAGCTAGCTAGTTAATTGGTTTGTTAGCTAGTTAGTTATTATCAAGCATTAGACAAAGTGAGGTCTAAAAGTTATGAAGTTCTCTCTGAGGTGGTAAATCTGTATGTGGACTGTACAATTTCAGGTGGCAGGATGGACTGTTCCAACAAACAAATAACAAGTTTCCTACAAATAGAAAACTACCAATAATAATAATAATAATAAATCATTTGTACCCAGCCCATCTGACTGGGTTGCCCCAGCCACTCTGGGCGGCTGTGTGATTTGTATTGAGAAGCATTCCATTCAGTTCTGTAGGGCTGTGCCTGCAGTCTGAATAATAATAATAATAATAATAATAATAATAATAATAATAAATTTTATTTATATCCCGCCCTCCCCAGCCGAAGCCGGGCTCAGGGCGGCTAACAACAATAAAACAGTACAACAGTACAACACAACACAACACTAAAATCATTCATTATAAAATTAATTCAAATCAAACCAATGGCAACCATTGTGCCAGAGCTCCGCGAAGATTGCTGAAGGAGGGAGTCAGGCTGTGCCCTGGCCAAAGGCCTGGTGGAACAGCTCTGTCTTGCAGGCCCTGCGGAAAGATGTCAAGTCCCGCAGGGCCCTAGTCTCTCGTGACAGAGTGTTCCACCAGATCGGAGCCACAGCCGAAAAAGCCCTGGCTCTAGTTGAGGCCAGCCTAACCTCTCTGTGGCCTGGGACCTTCAAGATGTTTTTATTTGAAGACCGTAAGTTTCTCTGTGGGACATACCAGGAGAGGCGGTCCCGTAGGTATGAGGGTCCTAGGCAGTATAGGGCTTTAAAGGTTAACCAGCACCTTAAACCTGATCCTGTACTCCACCGGGACCCAGTGCAGCTGGTATAGCACCAAGTGAATGTGATCTCGCAGTGAGGACCCGGTAAGGTATGAAATGGTACAGCCCAGCCACAGGGTTACAATACTGGGCCTTTGTGTTTAACAACAACAACAATAATTTATACGCCACCCATCTGGCTGGGCTTCCCCAGCAACTCTGGGTGGCTTCCAACAAAATATTAAAATACAGTAATGCATCAAACATTAAAAGCTTCACCAAACAGGGCTGCCTTCGGATGTCTTCTAAAAGTCTGGTAGTTGTTGTTCTCTTTGATATCTGGTGGGAGCGCGTTCCACAGGGCAGGTGCCACTACCAAGAAGGCCCTCTGCCTGGTTCCCTGTAACTTGGCTTCTCACAGTGAGGGAACCTCCAGAAGGCCCTCGGCGCTGGACCATCAATCAAAATTGCCACCTGAAGATGTCAACTAAAGCCTCATTTCAAAGTGAATGTGGGGTTCCCACTTGGGAAAAAGATCTGAGGCATTCTAATATCTCAGGACTTCTTGAGTTGTTGGTTTTTTTCTTAGAACCTCAGAAAAAGAAGACCACTTTCCAGAATTTTCTCCATATATTGTCCACCGTTTTCATGGTGGCCACTTTCCACACACCTACCCACCCAATGCCCCAGAATGCACAAAATGGAAGATACAAAATGCTGACCAGGTGGAGAATCTGCTGCAGAACTTCTCCTCCTGGAGAAATTTGGCAACTTTTTTTTTTTTTTAAGGTGGGGGTAGCCATTACCTGCAGCAATAGCACAGCCTCTTTTGCTTTGTTGTTATTGCCACTGTTGCAAGTGGTGGTGACAGCAATGCTGCTGGCATTCTGGCTGCCATTTTGCCTTCACCAATGCCTGGGACTTAAAGCATTATGTGAGCCCTAGAAATGTAATTGGATTCCAAGACCCGGGCAAGATGGTTCATGGGAGTTGTAGTCCAACAAGCCCCGGAATGCAAATTGTAGTCTGACAGAATTGCATGCAGATCTCCTCTACTCAATAAAGTTGTGACCTTAGTTAACTCAGCAGCAACAGGAAGCAGTGTCTTCCTTTTTATTCTGTGTGTGGACTCAGAAATTACGGGGCACCACCATTGCTCCTATTTGGGAAAAGATGGGGAAAATTTTCAGGGGTGGGAGGACAAGGGGCAGCTTTACGGGATTAATCATGTTGTGCCAAATTTCGCCTTCCCATTTTCACCCCTAATCTCTTGGCAACCTCAGGCTCCCTAGGGCTCCGTGTGTGCCAGAATGTCCCCCTCCAGTCTGTGCTCCGGTCCCCCAGATCACCAAAAAGATTCGCACCATCACAGAGGAGATTAAAGATGGGAAGATCATATCGTCTCGGGAACAAGTCCAGCACCTCACCCTCTAAGGCAACAATACATCAAAAACGAAGCCAATCCGTCCAGACAGAAGGGAGAAATCTTCATTCTGTTATGCCACTGCACATATTTTCAGGGCTAATATTCTGCTTTCTTGATCGTGCCTCAGTACTTCGGTGCCTATGTTAACTTTTCATATCAAAGAGTCGCTTCACTTCAACAGTGATTCAGCCACTGGGATGAAATATCAGCATTTTCAATAAACCTTTGTTTGTCTTCCTCCTATCGCATGGAGAAATGTTGGCTTATGTTGTCTTTCATTTGTGCTAGCCTCTATCATTTCTTGCTTAGAAGCTACTGGTTCTGGTTATTTGACTTTATCTGACAAAAGGATGTGTGCCAGTTATAGCATCAAGGACAAAGACTTAATAGTGCGATCTTGACCATGGCTATCTATCATCTGAACCAGAGTCTTCCCCAGGCCAATACTGGGCCCCTGAGGCAAGGGGTATGGCATCCTCTTTCTGGCCTTGTAGGTACAGTGGTACCTTGGGTTAAGAACTTAATTAGTTCTGGAGGTCTGTTCTTAACCTGAAACTGTACTTAACCTGAGGTACCACTTTAGCTAATGGGGCCTCCCACTGCCGCCGCGCTGCCGCCACACGATTTCTGTTCTCCTCCTGAAGCAAAGTTCTTAACCCGAGGTACTATTTCTGGGTTAGCGAGGTCTGTAACCTGAAGCGTCTGTAACCTGAAGCGTCTGTAACCCGAGGTACCACTGTATAGGCTAGAAGAGAAATGAAATGCCTATCTGAGACTATCATAGTACCATGACTGGAAATTCTCAGGTGGATGCCTGATGACTTGTTACTTTTAATTTGCCAAGAAGCCCCAGTACTTCACCTCTTGCCACCTCTATCTGAAGCAGTTCTTCAGGCTCTTCCCCTAAAAGAAAAACTTGCTCAGGCATAGTTCTACATCTTCCACAACACTCAAATAAATGAATTTAACAATCCTGAGTTGCTCTCATCCATTGGAATGTGATGCTCACTGATATACTTCCACTAACTAGGGACATTCAAGCTCCAAACAAAATAACAATAATAATATTTGTTCCCCAGCCACTCTGGGAGGCTTCCAACAAAAGATTAAAAATACATTAAAATGTCAGACATTAAAAACTTCCCTAAACAGGGCTGCCTTTAGATGTCTTCTAAATGTCAGATAGTTGTTTATTTCTTTGACATCTGATGGGAGGGTGTTCCACAGGGCAGGGGCCACTACTGAGATGGCCCTCTGCCTGGTTTCCTGCAGCCCCAAACGATGAACTACTTCTGTTAACATTTGTATCCATGAAATTCTAAGTACTAATGCAAGAACACATTGTCTATATGCAAAATGCTGTCCAGCAGTTTCCCAGTCTATAAATGTACAGATGAAACCAAAGGGAAGGCTGTGAAAGACATTCCTTTCCCAAATTATTTTTTATTAATTTTCCAAATTATTACAAACCAAACCAAATTAATTTAATTTAATGCAATTCCTTAAAATCAAGTTTCCCACTCCTGTTCCGAACATATGATCATCTTCATTTCCTCACATTGCCACATCTTTTCTTATTTAGAGTTCAACTGACAACCTTCACTAGCCGTTAAAGATTCTTCCAACTGGCCATTTTTTTCAGCTTACAAACAGCACCTCCGTTACATCTTAAAAATAAGTAATCTGTTTCACATGTGTAGTCCTTCATATGCATTGTTGTTCCAGACCTGGTGTGCTGTTAGAGTTAATTACTATCTTCCATTGTTCAGCTATTTGCAGTGTTTATCTGGATGGTACAAGGTCGTATTCCATTCCTTCCACTGTTTACTGACTAGTGTATGAGCTGCGGCCATAAATAACTCACAGAGTGCATGTCCAGTCTCCGCCATTAAAATTCTGCTCTGGAGTTCTTCCTTGGCACACAGTTAAAAACAATATCTTGTCTCAATTTCAGCCTCTTTACCAGATCTGTCCGGCAGCCATTCATTCGTTTTTCACTGCACCAACAGCACTCCTGGTCCAGTCCAGGAATAATTTTAAATAAAGTCCATTCAGCCTCGGTCAAGGGGGGAGGGCATAGTAAAACCTTGTTAAATTCCTTGTTGAGCATAAATCAAAAGCCTCCCCCCCCCTTGGGCTTCCGGTTTAGCACGGACATCAAAAGAGAAGCACGGAATGACCGCTCTGGTAATTCCGAGCAGCGTGGGGGTTTTTCAGAGGTCTGTAAGGGCTCTACAGACCTCAAAACCTCAAAGGGAATACCTTGGGGGGCGGAGCTCCCAGCGGCGCCCAGACTTGCTCTCCTGCTTCTCGGGTTTTTAAGTAGGAATCTGAGGACGGGATAGAGCTGCAGGCGCATATGTAACAAGATTTGATGTTTTGTTGGTGGGTGTTGGTTGGTGATCTTAAATCTCAATAAAAATAATTTTTTAAAAAAGCCTCCCCCCTCTTTTCCGAGGTAACAAACAGAAT